AATTATTATTTCTCTTAAAACAATCATTTAAAAAAGAAAATAAAGATGACAAATGTTAAAAAATATATGACTGAACAATTATTTAATAATATCAATTTAGTATTTAATTCATATCAAAAGAATTTCATCAAAAAATATTGGAATATTTTTTTTGAGGTTATAATTTTTTGCAATCAAATATCTTACCGTGCAAAACCCCGATCGGGATAACCTATATGTCTATATAAAGATGAAGGAGTTTTCTTTCAGTATTTCAAAATTCATAATAATCGTATGCACAGTTTTTTTTATAATGATTTTAAAAAAATTTGCATTTGATCAATAAATAAATTGAGTCATACAGCAACTAATTAGGGTTTAACAGCCAACACCATCTAGTGTTTGTTTTCGTTTTATGTGTGATAAATTTCAGGGTTTGAAAATGCTGGACTATTTTCAAGCAATTATTTTTGTTTACGAAAATGAAATAAGCAAAATGCAAATGCAACATTCAGTTTGCGTTTATGTTTCATACTAAGTGTGTGCGAAGGTTGAAGCAATGGTAAGTATTATGAAATTAAATTAATAAAATATATTTAAAAATTTGTAATTTATACAACTAATAATATTAAAAATAATAATATTATAATAATAATATTAAAAATATAAATATTAAATTTTTAATGCTTTACTTTCAGAATCGGGATATATTAACTGGCGTATTGATTGGGCTGCTGGTTGACGGTAAAAATGTATGTAAATAATTTAAAATATATATATATTATATTATGATTTATATTAAATGCAATATTAAAATAACATTTTTTGTCTCTTTCTTCAGCAACCCCAGCGTCAACAGCAGCAACGAAACCGCCGACCAGCAGGAAACTACCAGCGGCACCAGGAAAGTGTCCGACGACGGGAAGAAAACCGCCGACGACGCGAAAAAAACCTCCGGCGGCAGGATGAAAACCGCCGCCGGCAGGAAGAAAACCGCCGGCGGCAGGAGGAAAATAGCCGTCGGCAGGAAGAAAATCGCCGTCGGCTGGAGGAAAACCGTCGTCGGGAGAAAGAAAACAAAGAAAAAAATGTAATTTAAACAATTTTTATTAAAATTTTCAAATAAATTAATAATTTTTTTTTTAATTTTTCAGAATTCCGAAAAGAAAAAGAACAATCATTGTAAGTATTTATACGCTTATTTATTTAAACATAAGTATGATATTTACATATATATTTTTATTAATTGCAGATTTCCAAATGCGACGCATCCAAAAACAAAACCTAGAGCTGGAAAAAAAAAACCAATAAATTAATTAATTAAAAAAAAATTCATTTTCATATATCATATATTTCATATATCATGTTTATTTTTTAATACATTTTTAATAAAAAAATTTTATTTAAACTTATTTTCATAATTTTATTAAATGATATATTATATACATATATTCCAAGTAATATTAAAAAATGCGCTTAACACTATTTTTAATTTCTTTTACATTTTGGAGAAATATTTTTCCCCTTGCGCCAGACCGATGCTTAATGCAAATTTTGTATGAAATTCTATACACGCGCGCATGCCTAAGTACATAGGCAAACTTTTTTACCTGCATCTTCTGCCTTGTGCGCAAATGAGGGTTGTGCAAGTGACTAATTATTATAAAATAATAGGTTATAAATGCACCCCGACCTAAAAGATCTATTGTGCGCTGCAAATGGTTTAACTTTGGCTACAATTTTCTAAACAATATTTAATTAATATTAAGTATAATATACATACATTTATTATTATATTAAAATATATTGAACTAAATAATTTAATCAAATTAAATTTAATTATTACTAAAAGGTATAAATTTTAATTAGCTTACTACTCTGATATATAATAATTATATTACAAAAACTATCATCTAATACATATATACATAAATTTACGTTAAAAGTTCATTAAAATAAACAATGATAAACAACGAGTAGATAAAAAAGAGTAGACATGGTGTCTTCTTCAAAACTGTCATTATCATCATTCTGACCAACGAGCAAGTTATACGGAAATTATGTAAAAAGTCACGCATTGCATCCACAATATTATGCGAGGATTACGTAAGATTATGATATGAAGTCCCAGTCTCAGCAGTACCAGCTGCACCATCTGTTTAGATAAATAGAGTGATTAAATTTATAAAGAGCATTTATCTATATGTAAATTACCTTCACCAACCTTAAATGCTATAAATAGTGGTTGTCTATCAATTGGGTCGGCTTTATATTAGGTTCGTGGCGATGTTGGTGGTTCAGCATTGTTAGATCTAGCAGCAGGTACTTGTCCATGTAGCATATTGATTGTTGATTTGTAGCACAGCTAGAAGAGAATTTTTAAAAAAATATGTATATTATTTTCATAACCATATATCAATAATTTCTGTATGTATGAAATAATCACCTTTCATAAGAATTAATTGAATATGGTGGTGCAAATGGATGATACGTTACAATTGTGAATTGATTCTTTGACAAAAAAACTTGCCAATGGCACTTTCTCCTTAAAATCATAGGCAAATACATGACGTAAGGTGGGTCGAGGTGGTTTACCATAACGCAATGCACGTATCTGGTTGTAATCAGTGATAATTGCATCGTTGCGCTCGATGAGATCAAGTACGCTGTTGACATTACATTCCAACCAGGGCAAACATAAAGGCAAACCAGTTGATGTAAGGCTGGAGATTGACTATGTATAAAAAATTAATTGTTATTAATGTGAAATATAATAAGTTATAAATTTAATAAAAAATACTTACGAGCCAGAAATTTCTGACGGACAGTATGACTTATTCAACACACGTT